GACTCTTATTGTTTCCTCTATATTCAGAACACATGAGGGAACAAACAGTTTTTCAAATATTCTCCATTTCCCACAAACAAACTTTTCCATTTTGGCTGAATTCCCGATTCCTCGATTATGGATTTCGTATTATTCAAATTTCGAACTCCCATCATGTCTTTCGGATAGGCATGCGCCCATTCCTTCCACTCTGTTATTTGACGTTTCAATGATTTACCACGAGCTTGTCATTTGATTTTGGGATGACTGTACCCAAGCCGAAATATACAATATAGTATGCGCATTACGGTGGCAACGTGATTTGTCATGATTGATCGAGCGGAAACGAATTTCGGTCTTTCTGGTGGGGGCCAAAAGAAAGAACGGACGCACTTGTAAAAGTGAAAAAGTCCTATCCTTATCCCAATAAAAAAGATTCATGAGTGAAAACTATCATGGCGATCTCCCAGTGATCACGTGATCAACTTCAATGCTCATCTCCATGTTGAATATAGCGGTACACATCCCAATAAAAAAGATTCATGAGTGAGAACTGCCATGGCGACCTCCCAGTGATCACGTGATCAACTTCAATGCTCATCGACATGTTGAATATGGTGGTACACATTCTCTCATGGGTTTTGGAGATCGCATGGTGGTTCCACATGAACGACAACATCTCTACGTCCCATTTTCATTAGTTAGATAGATCCTTTTTAATAAATCCTTTTTAATAAAAGACACCAGCAACAAAACTCGAATTGAAAAAAGTCGAACTCGAACTATCTCCAATGAGAATAAAGATGTTAGACAACTGCCTCAGGATCTCATTGCTGGTCTCCTGAGGAAGATGGTAAATCGCTGTCTCGGTACGACTGATGATTTCCTCGGTGGGGATCTTTTTAGGGGCAACATCGAAGTTGTGTCCTTTCGCCAACACAGACACTTGTGCTTCACTGAGTTCAAATTTACTCAGATTCTTCAGTGTGAGTGAGGGTTGGGACTTTCTCCTGGGGGATCAGTTTCTTGAACTTACCCTTCTGACTCTCCGTTCTCATCTCAGCTGTTCGGACTGCTTGTTTGTGTGTAACACGATCGAGAGTCTCCCACAGCTGAGACTCCAACGTCTGAGCCAGAAGAAGGTGGAGATCGAGAAGCTGTCTGGAGAGATGGGCCAGATTCTTCTTAGCCGCTGTTATTCTCTCTTTGACCAATCTCAACGAAGCTTAGCGGAGGATGGCATCTGCCTGCCTTGATGGGACAGGATTCTTCAGACGGAGAAATTTCGGTACCACTTGATGGTCACGGCACCTTTTTAAAAAAGTTAGGGAGCACAGTTGGACGTGCAAGGACTTCCTGTTTGGTGAATAAATTCACCAACCCAAGAATAGCCTGCTTAGATGCTGCCAAGTGCAAAGGATCTAAGACCACCTCTGAGCACACCAGGAGTGTACGAGATCCCCTGCTCATGCGGGAAAGTGTACATTGGAGAAACCGGGAGGAAGATCAATACACGGATCAAGGAACATCAGCGGTGCTCCAAATACGGTCACTTAGAACAGTCTGCCCTGGCTGAATACTGGATGGACACTGGATGGACATACTATCCAGTACGACCAAGCCGGAATGTTGGCCAAATCTCAAGGGTATTTCGAAAGGAAATACCGANAGTTTCTGTATAAATTTGAGAAAATCCATGAATTTTTTTAAAAATTATAGAAAATTTTCGCTATTTCCCAGATATTGGAGAATTTTTGAATAAACCATGGTGGAACAATTGATAAGAAAAGATGGACTTTTCCAAATAAAACTGATGTGAAGAAGTCACGTGACCGACACTACACGCTGATTGATTGAAATGAAAAAGAAGGACATTATTTGAAAAATTTGAGAAATTCCTCCGATTTTCTCAACAATTTCACAAAAATTTCAAAGTTATTTTATATTGGTTATTATATTGTTATGTCTGGAGAAAGATTTTAGCGTCGAAAGGACATGTTTTAATTGTCACATTAAAATCAAATCTAAAATTATTAGATTTTATAATTATTGGACGATGCAAAGTTTTATACTCTTACCTTTTTCTAGAATATAAAGGAAAAGGGTTTGATTTAGGGATAGGGCTTGAGTTGAGACTAATTACTAATCAAGAAATTTGAAGTTGTAATGGGAATCAAATTTGAATTTAAATATATTTTGTATAACTTCGGTTTACAATAACATAATCGTGATTTTACAGAAATCTATGTAGTTAAAATTCCTATCCCTGGAATGATNGTTTGGTGAATAAATTCACCAACCCAAGAATAGCCTGCTTAGATGCTGCCAAGTGCAAAGGATCTAAGACCACCTCTGAGCACACCAGGAGTGTACGAGATCCCCTGCTCATGCGGGAAAGTGTACATTGGAGAAACCGGGAGGAAGATCAATACACGGATCAAGGAACATCAGCGGTGCTCCAAATACGGTCACTTAGAACAGTCTGCCCTGGCTGAATACTGGATGGACACTGGATGGACATACTATCCAGTACGACCAAGCCGGAATGTTGGCCAAATCTCAAGGGTATTTCGAAAGGAAATACCGAGAGGGTTTGGAGATCCATAAAAACCCTAACCTCAACAGGGACAGAGGATATCACGTGATCCCCATTGGGAAAACCGTTCTCCCGGTTTTNGACAGTTGTTTGACAGTTGAATTTTAAGATTTCAAGAGTTTGTTTGAGACTGTCCACAATGCGTCACAATGAACGAATTCCTTATTTGTAAGAAAAGTCGCTACTCTCGATTAAAGACATTTTATTCCCGGATAATTTCAATTGTTCGTAACTTACTATTAATTCAGTACTATCCCGCGGAATCGAAGGAAGGATTGAAAAACCGGACCGATTAAATGAACTATTTCTACCAGAATTGTTACTGCTCCGTCGCTGCTTCAAGACTGCTTAATTTTGGTTTTTCTGACATTTTTATGTGAATTTTGGGGTCACTTGTCACATGGGCTCCAACGAGTCCATTTTTAATTGGTGGAAAATGTCGTATGACTTTTCCCACTCTTTTGATTTTTATGGGGAAGTATAGTTCATTCGGTTTTTGGGGTTTCAATTAATCGGTTTTCAATCGTTCCTTCGCGTGCGAATCTTAGTATTGGGTAATTGGGGCATGCTGAGTGTGCCATTTCATCACTTTTGAACTCGATTCCAATGTCTTTGGAATTTTTAATCGAGTGCAAGTGATGAAATGCACTTAATTTAGTTTACAATTGTTGGTTTGGTTCTTAATGACGACATTCTAATCAACCAATTACGTTGATGATATGAACTGAAGTGAAGTAAACTCATTTAAAAAATCTATAACAGTGTTGCTACGTACTTTTACCCGAGTATCAACAAGCATTGAATTCCAACAACTGATTCTCTAACGATGCTTGAGAAGAAGTTGAATTCTAATCATGATTAAAATCTCATTCAGTGAGCATAGGAATTAGCACATACGCAAGTAATTCATACAAAAATTTAACAGCTAATAAATTGGGACATTATTTTCATCAGTCACATTGCTTTTTGCAATTTTTTAAAATTTAGAGCATTTGAACCTCATGGGTCATTACGCTATATGAAAAAAAAAGAAATAAATTGCAAAAAACATGCGAATTATTACATACAATTATGGGTACATCTTCCATATCGATGCTTATACATAGTGGTTTTCATCATTTTTACATATATACAGGTACTTACTAAATATTCAATTTCAAAGAGATCAGGAAGGAGTCAATAAGTAGCAAGACTGCTTTTTGCAATGGAAATGATTATGAACAATCAATTGAAAAAATCAATATTGAATGTGAAATTTTTTGGATTTTCTCAACAATTTTCCAAAAATTTCGAAGTTTAAAAAAATACACAAGCATTTCGGGATTTTATGGAGAATTTGAAAAAATTGCATCGTCGAATAAAATTGTGAAAAAGATCATGAATGTGGAGAAGATACTCCGAATCAGCATAAAAGCATCAGAATCAATCATGTAATTTTTCCAACAAAATTATAGATTGCTTTTGTGAAGAAGTAAAGTGGAATCAAGAGGGTGGCGAAGACTAAAAAGTTCGGCGTTTTGCGAAATTTAATAATTATTGTTTTGCACTCTGAATGGAACTTCGATTATGATTATAGTTAGAACCTCATTCAGTGAATACAGAGTTAGTGAATTACTTATTGCAATTGAAGAGGTGTTAAACCGTGAAGCATTGTTTACATTAATCTTCACACTCAATATAATAAGACGATGATGACTCATCAATTTGTGAAAAACTCACAAGGAAAAACACCAGAAAAGGCATAAAAGGGCATCAACGTCGCAGCCGCTTGCGGTCGAGAACAATAAGACTCCCCTTCCGTTTCACCCCGCTGCGATCTACAGGCGAAACACCTTAAGTGGTCTCCTCAGTAATTTTCGCTACCAAACGACAAGTAAAAGTAAAAGTAAAAGGAACATTGTAAAAAAACTCCGAGTAGTTTTATCGTTTCCCTCACCCTGTTGACAATGTGCTAGCCAATAAAGGAAGCTATATTTGTCTATCCTAAACTCTCAAAAATACGGGCATGAAGTCTCATCGAGCTTTGCCGTTAATTTGTTGAATAAATTATCGATAAAAATAATTGGTGCGATGTCTGTGACTATCCAACATACGCCATGTTTGATGTTTCGTTTCTCTCGAAAATAACCTCACTAACTTCACCATTTTACGCTCCACTCACCTGCGTGCCCATCTCCGTTTTGCTGTACTGAGGACACCCCTTATATTTACATGTACGAGATCGGCCGCGCGTGCTACGCACGCGCCTCCTCATCTCACGTAGTGGCGCTACGGCGGTATCATTCTTACGCTTACGGTTATTCGAGATTTTCGAGATATTTCGAGATCGATTTCCCTTCTCCTTTTTACGATAGGAGGATCCATTTTTATAATTTTTACATTGTTTTTTTCCTTGACAGATTTAAATCTCGTTTTATTTCACCAGGTATACAACTCCGAAAATCCTTTTGACTTTATGGAACAAATTTCGCTAGAAGGAAAAACTAATTTTTTCGAGAAGAAAGTCGGTGAGTATCAAAAGTGGGGAGTCATGCAGACACCAGAGACGAATTCCTTCTGCACCAATGCTGACTTTTAATTACTAAGAGATTTAATAAGCTAATAAGTATAAGAATGAGTGCTGCGCATTGAGTTATTTAATTAATGTGCTTTTTTGACGCTGAAAGAGTTTGTTTCTTTTCTCTCTTAATTTGTATAATTTTATGTGAAGACGAAAACATTCAATAACAAGTAAAAATCAACAATTGAAAGATATTCAAAAGTTAAATTAGTCAACTGAAATTTAATTTTACTCATTTTTCGCAATGGCCACCACTTGTATTGTTTTGTTTTACTCCACAGCACTGGATAATGAAAATGTGTACAATTAAATTTACGATATAATTTCTTTTACATTGGATATTTTAATTTCTTGCTGTTTCGTTGAAGTATAACATAACAAATATGTGCCTTAAAGTTTAACATGATACTTCATTTTTATCAATTTCATCTGCACATTAACATGAACTCGTTCATCATGACTTCCATGATTCTAATTTACCTACCTATAATTAAAAGTCTTGCAATTAGGGATAAAGTAATTAACAGAGAAAACAATTATTGTTCAATTTCTTTCATGTATTCACATAATGTATAGAATCACAAAAATAAGCTTGAATTTAAACCCTTTTGTATGAATTTTGACATTAAATTGGGTATCTTTGTCTTGTGAATAGATACATATGAAATATAGATTTTTTTCTTGTTATGGAGTATTCATTGCGAAACCAGTTGTGAGACGTTCCAAGTATTCCTGGCGACACTTCATCTCATCAGCTGGACGATTGTAAGGCAGCCAAACTGGCTCACCAACGAAATAACGTTTTGCCTTAATAAAGTTCTAAGAAGAAAAAATCATGTAAGTTTCACTTGTAATATTTCGAACCGAAATCACAAATAAAGAATTAATATTTTGGCAACTAATAAGCAGTTATCATGAAACAGCAAATTATGAAGAATGGGTTCTTTTCTAAATAATTTCGAGTGTCAAGTTAGCATACGTAAATGAGCTTCAGTTTTTACTTGGAAGCGCACTGCTAGTAAAATTATTGAACGGGCTTTAAGAGACAATGGAACTTACCATCAAAGTAGAAAGTGGATTCCAAGTTTTTTCGTCGTCAGATGACTATTTAGAAAAATCCAAATTCTTACATCATCAATAATCTTGATATCTATAAAACTACTCCGATGGTAAGTTCCATAGCCTCTTAAGGTGAAACCAAAACCTCGGATAACAAGAATGAGCGCAACCGGAGCTCTCCAGCTCAATTATTAGTGGAGATACTGAATATAAATTTTTTTTCTTCTAAAAATTTCGATCTACTATAAACAATGAAAAACCGTTTCAAAACCATAGACTGTGTCAGAGGTTTTCTCAATTTTTTGAAAAAAATTGTGTTCTATGCATTTTTATATGGAAACCCAAAAAGAAAGTTTGAAATGGTAATTTGGGGTCTTTCTCCACTCGTGTTTGTTCAACAAATCTCTTTACTACCACCTATGTATAATTTTGGCGCTCGAAAACTGAAATAAATGAAGAAATTTTTGTCCAAATCTTTTTTGTAGATCTCATTCATTTTAATCCATCAGTGTAGCACACTGAAATTTTTCCAATTTTTACTTGTCCCTTCTTGAGTTCTGTGATGCGTTGTGATATTCATGGCATATTTCTGAATCAATGTTCAATATCTTGTAAACATGAAGTTCATTCAAATATTTCCTTTGCAAATCACAAACAAAACAGGATTTTCAGCAAAAAACCGCAAAATGGAAATATTTCAGAAACTTTGTATGAACGGGTATGCATATTTTGATTGATTGAGATAGAAGACATCAAGATCAATATTTTGAAAAAAAAATTGATATCGGTTGAGTAGTTTTTGAGATATTTTCAAAAAAACTATTTAGAAATAAATTATGATTTATCAAAAATAGCTGCATCGATTGGACTGCAATTGAGCGCAGAGCTAGTTCTCATTAATACCTATAATCTGACGAAATTTCAGGTTTTTGAAATCATTTTAGTCATTTAATTCTTCAATTTTCTAAAAATTGACCACCCGGTCGACATCCGCACATACACACAAGGTGGTCAAACTTCGTATTTTTACGTTTCAAACCATTGGACATCATTTCCAAGTAAAATTAGAGAATCTAAAAATAGAACGATTTCAATGCTTCCATTCGGAAGCAAAAAAAAATCCCACGAAAAAAAGAAACTCCTGCATAGTTCGTATCAAGGAAGTAGGGGCATGGAAAATGTGGAGAAAACAAACTGCACTAGATTATTGTCAGTTCGCGACGTTTCGTTTATAATTTAAGCTTGCTCAGACTTCTGGAAAAAAAACAAGTACAAAACAAATAAATTAGTGAAACATTACGAAACGCCCGTTAATAAATGTCAGACAATCAAAAGAAAATTCATAACCATTCCAAATCTAAACAAATGTAATGACTGAACGTCACAAGTCCATCAGCCATCCATGAACTAAGTGTAGAAAATCTTGTTACCTATCTTGACAATTAAGTATATAGTTATATTATTTTTTTAAATATTCCATATTGGGAACTCTAAACATAGTTTTAACGATGTTGAGGAGAGAAGTAGGATATCCGAAAAATGCAGCCAATTCCATGAAATTTTTTTCACATATTTCATCCATTTAGGCACCCCTTGCAAAATTTCAGAAACCCCAGGTTCAGGACAACAAAAATGAATTCTAAAGTTGCTACGTATAAAGACTATCTAGCAACTGGCCACATTTCATCTGGCCACGGAGCGTTCTTACACAATGGAAACCAGCACAGACTGGTTTTCTACATTTTCAAAATTGACATGCGGCTGTGTAAGTTGTCTGAGAATAAATTTGGTATTATGAGCTGCGTTTACAACGATGAGTCGATTACACACACTGTTGATAATGAGTTGAAGCAATGATTTATGCAAGCTGCTCCTGTTCGTTGTTTATTGCCAAAACGTTGTAGAATAATGTTAATTCGAGGAATACACAGCCAAGTTTTGCACTTGGAAAAAAGCACCACCAAGATTGATTGCCTCATAAAGCAGTTCAGTAGCTAGTCAATCAAATAATGAGTACATCAAGTTTGTAATATGTAGAAATAATCTCATTCATGAGAATCTTTTTTTTTCTCAATAGTATCAATGCGCACACTTGTATTTCTGCGAAAGATTTTCAAGAGATGTATCAAATATTAATGTGTGCGACTCAATGGAATTATCTTTCATTTTGTACACAATCAGATTGTCAATTCTATATCCTTATTCTATTTGCGCATTGATTTCACGAATGAACACAACACGTTTGACACTATTGATACTGACACACTACGTTCACTCACGGTTTATTTCGACACACTGCGTTCTGATACTTTACCGTCTGCAGTATAATTGAACGATGTAATGATATTCATCACAATGATAACTTACACAAAAAGTTCTTACATATTTTATGCCGCAATATACACTGTACAAAATATGCCACAGTCAGGAGAAAAAGTTATTGACGAGTCAACTGAAATTCTACACAGTGTTAATCATTCTCCTCAAACTTACACAATGACATTTGTGACGGCGCTAACCAACGTGAACCTCAAAACTTGAAATATAAACCGTAGACTTATCCATAACTCGATGCGTAACTCAAAACAGTCGGAGTATTGTCACCTTCGGCCTCTGGTCCTCAATGTCCCCATGAAAATCCTCGAAAACCGAATAAAACAAAGAAAAACGGAAAAACGAGAAAATGTTGTCGGGCGGCAGCTGACTTTTGTTCCAGCGGTGTCAACGAACCGCATTAAAGAGAACCGTACGAAGAACTTACCCATAATCGGGGAAACCAAAGGAGAGGTTGCGGAATTAGCTCGACTAGCTCGGAGGTATTCGGAGAGCGGGGTAGGATCGGTCGCTCGGTCTTAGGAAGGATGTCGCGAATTCAACAAAATGCACCGAAAAATCAAAAGGAAGAATCAGAGAATTAATTAAATGGGAGATGAGAGAATTACTTTAAAGTTACGCCGGGATTTATTCAATGTCTCGATAATATTTCAACTCAGGTGGAATTTCTATTCTTCACAAATAAAATACATTAATTTCAATGAACTTCAACCAAATTAAATTCAATTAAATTCCCGAGAGTGAGAGTACGTGAATTGACCTTCAGAGAGAGGTTATCGCGAAGGGAAATGGGGGATCCGAAGAATTCAAGCCAACTATCTCTCCGCATCGTCCAGAGACTGGAGTGCTGGAGGATCCGAAGGCTATATTAATTCCGATTGGATGATCTCGGCGAATCTCCTCAGAATAATAAATGACAATTAGTGGGCGAGAGACATAAAGATGCAAATGTCACTTAAGAGTGCCATTTTGCCCCATGTTCGAGTCCGTCCTCCATCAAGAGCGTCGTGGCGTCACCGGAAAATCCCTGGAGCTCACGAGCTTCAATGTCGTGATCTTCGGGGTCTCGTCTTCCAGGAAACATTAAATTAATAAATTCAGACCTTGGGGGAGCTTTACTGAGCTAGAAGAGCACTCATTTGAGGCTTCAACTCGCTCAGGGAAGAGAATAAACCGCCATGTGCACGACAGCGTCACCCACGGCACGTGAGGAGCATGTGTGCACTTGTAGGCCTGTTTTATCCACTTTTTCCCACTAAAATTGGCACTGGACATTCCCCATACGTTCTCGAGGGTTCCAGTGAACTAATTATGCACTCAGAAGGTGCATTAATTGTTCACAAGATCTCCTGGTGAACGGAGAGGGCACAATGGCGCCATGGCAGGGTATGGGCCATGTGCGGCCTTTTATTGGGTCTCACTGTCCGTTGTCACCATCACTGGAAAGTCCCTGGGGTTTTTATCACTGGGGAGAGGTCCAGGAAGCCGAACGAGGACTTTATGCACTCAGTGGTGCATTTTTCCTCTCGCTCGGAGGAGTTTTGGTGGTTGGAAATGCATCTCGGTGTCACTCTTGTGACCGCCGGTGCACTTTTCCCGGAGGTTATCACTGGGCACACTGGGAATAGATGCACTTCTCTCCTCGGGAGAGAGTGCACATGGTGAATAAAAATTTACTTACCATGTTCCTCGTGTGGGTCCTCGGCGATGGTCTCCACCAACTCTCTCAATCGTAGCGGGTGTTCTCGAGGATATCGTCGCAGTGGCTGCTCGGGTCCAACTCTCTCGTAAACTGCGTTTTACCGGCGGATGTTCTCAGCTGGGTGGCGCGACTGTCACGCCGTCTAGCTGCCGCTGGGGCGGGCTCATGTAAACGAGCACGCGGGGATTTCGGTTCAAATGGGTTTTAGACTTGTTCAGGCATTTCGCCGTTAATTATATTTTTTATGAATTAACCCAAGGGGTTTTTTATCCACAATGACTGAACGATAGGTATCTGGAGGTTCGGAAAGGGGGAATTAAGGCAGTTGTTCGCCTTTTCTTCTCGCGAATGCACTTCACATCTGAGTGAGTGCACTTTTTCGCTGCTGTCACTCTTCCGGGAGTCATTCCGGATTCACCGTGAACAAATCTAAATAGAGAATAGCCCATGGCGATCCATGCAGACGAGTGGGCTATTTTCATCCACATGGCCTTCCAGCTGCACTGGTGAATCCAATGACTCCACGAAGCGCCTTAGCCAGGGAGCGTGAGTGTTTCACCTCAACCTCTGTGATCAGCAGCCTGCACTCAACGAGATCAGCGAGATCTCACCGGGAAACTCGGTATATCGGCTCTGAACCGCGGTGGATCGTCGTCCCTCTCAGGATCCGCGAGATTTCAAAATACAAAAATATAACTAGGAAAATACAATTACTGTACATTTTCCCTCAACCGTAAAACCGAAAATTTATCCCCTAAAATGCGAAATAAACCTGAAAGATAACTGAAACTAAAGGAGAACAAAAAC